TCACGTTACTCTAGTACTACCAGATCACACTTAACAAAGCAATTCTATTCAGTCATAAGTTCCAAATGCTAAATCTATTTTGTTATTTTTTCTGGTAAAATTAACCCTCTTAGATTCAATGATCTTTCTTGCGAAGTAAAAAAGTCAATAATCTTGATGATCTGAGAATGCTAAGTTCCTGCGACATATAAATTTTGATAAAAATATTAATAAAGAATGTTATACTCATTACTCTTATAACCCTTTTAAACTCCATTCACACCTTTTCTTATCATAGAATCTTATATTGTATAATAAGAAAATAGTCTTTCTACTTATAAATATTTATTAGCATTAGGGCAAAATCGTTATAGGAAAGTAATTCTGCAGTAAGGTAATACTGCATAAATTTAATATATGCAGTTAAGTAATGTAACTTTATATAGCGTTCTGACACATGATTATTTACCAAACTATAAAAGTTTGGCCAGTATTATTTACATAAAAATTATATAAAATTACGTAAAATTTCTAATTTGCATGTATCATAGCCACAAAAGTAGTATATGTACTACATATTTCTAAATTACTCTAATTTATCTTTTCAAGATCAACACAAAAGCATACTATTCTTTTAGAGTAGGATATCAGCTCAGGTTGGTTTTCCAACCTTAACAGCTCATTAAATAGTATGCTTTTTTATTCTATATTTTACAAAAGGAATCTGAGTATGTAACAAATTTTTTGGTTATTATATAATATTTATATAATATCGAGGGATCGATTACGGAATGATCATGGAAATTTTATTAAATTCTTATGCACAATCAGGAAACGATCACAGAATATCACAGTTTAATCAGCAGAAGATAACAATTTATCAATTTACGTGAGCAATTAGAATTGTGTATAAGTTCGTATGAAAGCAAATGATATTTAATGACCTGTTAAAATTAGGTAATTTATTTGTAACAATTATAGAATATATGATGACTTGTATCTGAATATGTAGTAGTTTCTGCTATAAAATAAAAGGCATATTTAGTTGTTTAAAATACTTTTCATTAATTCTAACAGACTTTTATTTATAATTCTAAAAATATCTAAAGATTGGAACAATATTCAAACTCAGCTTCTAATTAATGAATGAAAAAATAGGAACATGAATTATCATGACCTTCGTAGAGGACATAGAAATGGATTTTGAGAAAGTATCGCCATCAAAATTAATGAACAATATAGATCGAACTTTAATGAGTATTACTGCAAATAAAAATTTTTAACTCTTACTTAGGATTATAAAGTAAATATGAGTTAGAAACTCTTATGCCTTGCATATATGAACTACATCTACTTTTATTTGTTTTTGGTGCTTTTAATCTGCACAGATTAATATCTGATAATTATTAAAAAAAATAGAAGATGTGTTTATATTTGGCAGGAAATTATAGAGGACAGAAAAGCCGAACTAGAGAGCATTATTTTAAGGAATTCCAAACCCATTTTTGGAAAAAACCTGATAAGTTGATTTATCTTTTGTGCAAGAGTATCGCTTCTTTTTTTAATAACTTTACAAATATATGTTATGTTTAGTATCTCAATTTGATCGAAGACAACAAGAAATTAACGAAGTTGTTCTTCACTACTATCTTATGAGAAAACAATATCATCACTAAGTCAAGAGTCATTATTCTCTAGTCGAAGAAACCAATCTACTTCTCCTGTAAGGTCATCTTTTTGTGAAGAAGATAATAATAAGCGTTCTATTGTTCTTTGGAGTAGGGAGAATAGGAATAGTAGAGGCTAAATTTTTATATAACATGTCTATACTATGTATAGCATTTAACTTTTGTACTTCGCTTGCCTATTTGAGATAAAAAAAATAAATTACTATATATATGCATCTAAGAATTTTTTGCATGATTTTATTACTTAAACATAAAGATAAATTTGTTATTCTAAAAAATTGTGAAGGTATATAACTTAATGGTTACATAGGACACGAAATCAAAACTATTTATAATTTGTTTGTATCTTGATAAAAAAAATCGTGATAGATGTTTGATCAACATAGTACATAAATAACAAAGTATATATAAATTTGTAAATTAGGCTTAAATATATAGCATGTAAAATTATTACTATATCCTATATAGTCAAATATGCCTCTTGATAGATTATTTTTACAATACACAATAATCCCAAATATAGAAAATATGCGATTGTTGGTCGTGTTCTATAATTGTAATGCTGAATTTAGTATTCATTTTAATTGTTAACAATTACTGAATTATTATATTAAATTATTATGACGTGTGATTGTTTGAACTATGTTAAATTATTATAACGACACACGATTATCTTAAATTTAATACCAACTATACAATTATACTATAGTTTTTAGTATAAATTCTCTAATAAATAGGACTGACTTTTGATATAGAGTTCGATTTAGTTGATATTTTTTATTCTTTATATTTCTTATTTCATGCAATAAAAATACTTATATTGTTATCAAGACAGCTAATTACAATGCAAATACTAAATAATAAGTGAAAAAGAGAGGGCATCACATCACAAGAGATTCTAATTATTAGAAAAAAATTATCCTGCTATGCTCGTGCGAATAGAAATAAAAAACAAAAGTACGATCATAAACAAAATAAAGTTCTTTATAGGCCAGAAGTTGCTAAGCTTATCATTAAAGATGATATTATCTTTGATCCATTCTGAGTATATATTTTTAAATTTGGTATACTCTTCTTATATTAGTTTTGTGTTAATAGAACTATTGTTTAAACTAGTAACTACGAGAATATTGTAGAATTCAACAGGGCCATAATCATTATTCTTCATATGGAACTAGTAGCTAGAGGTTCTGGTAAAAGTAATAAGTTCAATCCACAAAATGTTCTATCTAGAATCTTTATATTATTATTCCTTAAAATATATTAATTAATCTATTATATTTCAAACAATATAACTTGGTTTTTATTTATTAAAGCACCAGACACAACATGCCACTTGAGGTTTGTATACCTATGACAAGGTTTATTATTTTGAAAAAATGTAAACAAGCATCTCTTTTTGCCTCTCTGATTGTATATCTTCCAAACAAATAAAGACTCAAGAAAATATATCAGTTAATGATTTGTTAGTTGAAACTTTGATTAGAGAAGCTAAATTAAACAATCTTTTTGAACTAACTGAGGTCCCTTTAAAATTTCTTACGTTAGTTGAAATATGCATTATCAGAAAGGAACATGAAGCTGAATTATCCACTACTAGTACTAATAATTTGTTGTCAATCGATTTTGGATAGTAGTTAGGTTTTAAGGAACCTATAAAACGAAAACATATATGATATTGCCTTAAACATAAGTAGAAAAAGCTCCAACATGCCTTGAACTTGCGAAGTGAAAATTCTACTAACATGATTATTGAGAGTATTACTAGGTGAGAAAAAACCAGATTAATTATGTCAGCACATGAAAATTTTCAATCTCTAAAGAATTTGATCTAATTTTGTTATGTGGTTAGCCTAGAATATATTACTGATTTGAATGATCAAACTATAATATATTTAGAATAGCTAGATAATTATGATACTGTAATTCAAGTAACTAATGCTATAGATTATTACTATTTCTACACTATAAATAATCTATCATATTGAAGTTATGAATTTTAGGTAAATTTAATTGAATATTTTAGAGCTTATGTATTATATAACATTCTCCCATATACTAGTTCCAATACAGCTAGTTCGCATAACTCTGATTATCAAATATGTGTAAACAATTTACTTCAAAAGCTTAAACTACTATCAAATAGTATTAACTAATTTTTCTAAGATTGTTATAAAAATCTTTACAAGAAGTTAAACAATTTATCTTGGGAACTTTTCGTATCTTGCCTATTTAGGGTTTTTCTCATAATTGTGATTAATTATAATAGTATAAGTGATTTTTACTGAGATGAACATGATGAACCTAATAGCCTTTGTTGTCTCATTGCTTTAGACGATTTTGAGAGTAGTGAGTTGTGTTTCCCACAACTACAAATTGTAGTAAAACTCAAACCAGGTCAGGTTGTAGCATTTTCTTCTCACCTTTTGCTTCATAGTAATTTCCTAGTCACAAAAAGAATCTGATATAGTATAATGTATTTCGTATATAGTTTGTTTTTTTATCATTTACATAATTTCATATTAGTTTATAATGATCTTGAGGAAGGAATTAAGAGAAATACTCATAGATCAATTGTTTTAATAATCCCTTGTCAAGATCTTAATAATACTCAAAAGTTGAATTGACAAACTCAACTTTTAAACCTAAAAGCAAATTAAATAAAATACTACCTCTATCTTTAGACTATAGGCAAGGTCATATTAGTTTAGTGTATGCTAGGCATGGTTTGAGAGCAGAAGATTCACTTCCCAATTTATAACGATAATAAAAATTAATATATATTTTACTGTATTATAGATTTTTATAGCATATAGTTTAAAGCATTTATATAATAATTTTTTTTCTAGCAAATACTGTAAATACTTTTTAAAAAATACATAAAACTGATTTTATCCTAGACTCGTTATTTAGATAATTTTGATAACAAAGTTATTGAAATTCATTGTAAGATAGAAGTTACTAATAAAACTGTAAGAACTCATATACAAGGAACGTCTACCTGGCATTATATCTGTAGCCTTGTGAATTAAAACTCTTAGAGCTAAAAAATTCGTAAGTTATTTGGAGAAAATAGTATTGGATTTATCTAATAAATGAATAAACTCTACTTAGTTCCTGTGATAATGATCGTAATTCATACTAATTTACTTTTGATTGATAACTCGAGATAAATTAATTGATTCAAATATACTTGCTCAGAGCTGATGTAATTCAAAAGATTACAAAGCCTTATTCTTACTATAAATAAAGCTCGATATTTTATATTACTCTTATTCATAACTCAAATAATGTCAATAGCAATAGGTTAGTAAACTCAATTAAGTTCAAAAAAATAAAATTTCTATAATGTATGAGTTGTGGAACCAGATGTTATATTGAAGTACTTTCCTATATTTGTAGTAGTTAACTCTGTAAAATAGCACTCTGCATCTGATTCATTCTCTAAATTGTTTAATAAATTTTTACACTGCCTTCTCTATTTTTATTCCAGTTATAGTTAGCTTTTAATAAGAAAACTAGTCCCATAGCCTCGAATCATATATGTGTCAACTGTCTATTTTAAATTTGTAGATCTAGAAGTACTGTTGAATAATTACAATGCCAAATATAGCTATTTTATGTCAAATTATTTATAGCTAGATATGGTGTGATGACATAGCTATATACATATGTATATAAAACTCAATTTTTTGATAATCTATAAGCTAAATATTCCATTTTGTCTTTATGTCGATAAGACGATTGCTCAAGTTATTTGTATAGGTTTGTGGAATTCAACAGAGTCATAATAGTTCTGTGCTTTAACAAAGGTGTTTTGTCTAGTCTATGAAAATACACAACCTAACTATACTTCACCTTCTCGTGATAAATCACTCGAAGCCAGATATAGATAGTTATCAATTTTTTAAAAGTATATCTTTTTTCGAGCTTATAAGAAAAAAGTAGATATAGTCTTCTCAAATATAGTTATAGCTTTTTGAGGCAGGCCTAGGATCTGATTATTACCTCTCTGCAATTTACTTCTTCTTCCAATAAGTCATATAAAAAATTTCATCTCTATTGAGTGATAGGGCCTCTGGCTTGGTTTTTTCACATTTACAAAAACCTAATTTTAGAGGATATGATCATTACTATAATTGTCTATATAGTAAAGAGAAGAAGACTGAATAAGCTTCTTGTAGTTTAGTTCACTGAGCTATGAGATAAGAAATAGTTCGAATATATCTATCTCACTTTTTATTTATTATACTTCTTCCTAGGATAGTCATGCAAAAAATTTCATCTAACTTTAGACGATAGAGCCTTTGACTTCATATATCTAATCAATATTTATTTATTACAATACCTCTTGTAAAAATTAAATTCAAAATTAAGGAAATATTAAGTTGATAAAATCTAATAGGTCTATAAACCGTATAATCATTAAAAAAATTATTGTTGAATAATCCCAAATATATCAGGTCTTAGTATTTCTATTATTATTGACAAAAAAGATAGAACACTATCTAAACTCTTTAACAACTATTCTAGGTATGATATGAAGTATATACAATCATATGTTTTAAATTATTGTGGTTATAGTAGTGAACAACTTGAATAACTTTATACAACTGAAAAATTATATAACAACTTGTCTATCATAAGACAGAATAAAAATCTTATTCAATAGGCAGTGCGAGTTAGAATTGATCTTCAAGATTTGTTACTCTAACAAAAATTTAGTGTATATTACTGATCCTACTTATTTGCTTCTTATCCTGGAGATAAGTTAGAAAATTTTAATTACTATTACTCAAAACCATTCAAGAATAGGACTGCAATTTGTTTTGGGTGTTAGAAAGTAATTCGTGTTAATATTAATGTAAAGCTGAAGAAGAAACACTATTTCTTAAGAGGTAGATATATAGAAATTCTTGAATCTAAAGACCTGATGCAAGAATATTAGGATAATGATTGTAATAAACCAAAAACTAGAGATGGTTCAGCAAGAATTATTCAAAATGTTTGAAGATGATTCCAAGAAAGAGTACTATTAAATGCATGACTTACTTAGAACAGCTTAGCAAATAATAATACTCCAGATAATATGAAATTTTTAGGTTTAACAAGATGTGAAGTGAAAAATTCTTAGACTCAAGAACAATTTAATTAGTGGCATACTAAATAGATTGAATTATATAAAAACAATCCTATGATGTGCAGTTCCATTATTAATAGACAATATAAAGAATATTATATTCTAGATGATTGGATAGAATACAAAAAGAGTCAATTGCGAATTAGATTCCAAAAGTAACTTTTAAAGATAGAAGCATAGTATTTATTCGATTTATTAATTCTTTGTAAGTACAAAATACCTATACTATTTATATAATATTTTTTGACTGTGCTAGTTCTACTAATACTCTTGAAGATATAGATAGGTAGTTGTCCACTATTTTCCTAGAGGCAGAGCCTTATTGCTTTGCAATAATGCTATTCTTGAGATCATAATTGAGAAATATATTATGAAATTTCTGGAATAGAAAATACTAATGTGAAATAAAAATCTATGAAATAGGTTCAGCAGGTAATATATTTTTTATCTTGCACTTTTACCATAACTCTATCTCTTTTTGCAAATCTAGTTGAGTATCAAAACTTAGCTGAATTGCAAGTAGATTATCCTCAGACCTATTTAGATCAAATATAATAAATTCACCTTTGCGTAAGTAGCTATTAATAACCATTGATACATTTTTTATATTATCTGTATATCTATGAATAATTTTAGAAACATCTTCATATGAACTACTAGAATTAAAAAGTACTAAGTAATTAGCATTTTCACATATGAATGTAGTGATTTTATGATATTTCTGTGCTACAAATATACATAAAATATTTTGATGTTACCTATTTCCAAAAAATTGGCCAATTTGATTCTGTATATATTCTGAAGTGAGATACAAATCCTCAAAAACAATTGCTGTACTTCATTCAGGTAAAGATGCTTTTACACTAGGAATTTTTTCTAGTGATATATAGCTAAATTATATATTTTCATAGTAAGGTGCTTTTGGGTCTTTTAAAATTATGCTATACATATATCTAACAAATACCTATTTTGGCTCATCAGAATGATAACTACAACTATTAAATCATTACAAGAAATATATCTCCTACTACCTTTTTTTCCTTTATATATATATTTAGCTTTATCACTGAGAAAAAAATTTGTTAAGATATTAGTCTTATCTGATCTACTTTTTTCTGTAACTATCATTCTAAAGAGCTATGTTAGACTAGCTAGATGAGATTGACAATGAGATATAACATGTTTATTAGCTTCATCTATATCCATAAGGAATAGTTTTATAGGAGGTATTTTTGAATTTTTTGTATGGCAGATTGGGAATCCATAATTCTATTTTCTAAATACTGAATAAAAATTTTCTTCTCTCCAATAATTCACTTTACTTTGTTTGTTCATAGTCAGTTTATATATTCCAGAAAACAAATTACTGAAGGTGGTCATACTGTGAGTATAATCTAACTTTGAGTTCAAAGAACAAGAAAGCAGGGTTGGACGAAAAATTTGCCTATATATATACCATATAATTAATAATATTATCAAAGCAAAAATAACAAACTTAATAGGAGTAGTTTAATACTTATTAACTATGCTAGCATCTAATGCTATAATAGATAATGCCTCACTTCTTCCTATTGTAATATTATGAGATCTAATCAGAGTCACATTCTTTATTTCTTGAAATTAGTTTTCTGCATTGATTAGTTGTAATAAATTATCTTTATTATTTTCATTAATAATAGTTTCATCACTTATCTTAGAAGTAACCTCAGTATCGATTTTTGAAGATT